ACCCCTGTCTGGCCACTCTCATAACTCTCTGATGGTTGCTCTAAACTATACAAATGGCGGCTAATCTTATTCATTACGCTCACAAGATACAGTAACAAGCCAGTCAGGGTGGCTCATACCTGTATTCTCAGCACTCAGGAGGAATGCCATGAGTTTGAGACTGGTCTGGGCTACAAAGAAAGACACTGTCTAAAGGTGGTGAGGGTGGGGGTTGGGGAGGCATGGAAAACTAGCTCAGTCTGTAAGGCACTTGTCACACAAGCATGAAGACCCAACCCAGAATACATACAGGAAAAAGGTCAGGTGTGGTGGCACACATTTATAATTCCAGCAATGAGGAGGAAAAGACAAGCAGATCCCTAGGGCTCACAGGCCTAGGCTACTTGGCAGGCCCCAGTCAGTGAGAAACCTTGTCTCAGAAACAACAGTTGAGGTTGTCTTCTGGCTTCCACATTACTCAAGTGCACACACAACCCCCCAAACAAAAAAACCAATTCAAGATACAATGATTACTTTTTCTCCATTTCTTCCCTTAGAGGGTTTTATTTTTCTATCCCCCACCCCGAGACAGGGTTTCTCTATGTAGTTGTTCTGGAACTTGTTCTATAGGCCAGGCTAGACTCGAACTCAGAGATCCACTTGCCTCTGCTGACCCAAGTGTTGGGATTAAAGGTGTGTGCCACCACGCCTAGACTTAGAGTTGTTTTTATTTCTAAGAACCGTGCTTTCAAGGATTTTCTACTTCAAAACCCCCATAATCCTCTCTTTAAACAAGCACTGTGGCCAAGACTCCTATAAAAGGAAGTGTACTCTCCGGTGTCCAAAAAGTCAGAATCCACAATCCCTACCTTTCCAACTTCATCCCTAGAGACCTCTGTGGGCTACTTTTCACGCTAACAATGCATGTGCAATCCCTTTCTCTTGAGTGTAGGTTAGACCTAGTGATCTGCTTCTAAAGAATGTAATACAGAAGTAGTTGTGAGATACACAAAATGGTGCCTCTGGCTTTGTGGGCAGTCTACCTTGTTCACTCTGAGGAAGCAGCCATCGTGTTGAAAATGCTTCAAAAGAGGTCTAAGTTCAACTACCCCGAGGAGCTGGATTCAGAGATCCATTGCCTAAGTGAGATGGGAAGTAGATCCCTCCTGGTCAGGCCTTGAGACAGTCATGAGATGTTCTGTACACAACCCTGAACCATAAGTCCCAGGCTAAACCATCCCTGGCTTGCTGGCCCACCGAAACTGAGATAACAGCAGTGTGCTGTGTTGAGTCATATATAAGCTATGGTATTTGTTACACAACAGTAGATAACTATGCTGCTAGCCCAACAGAGTGGTTATAAGGATAGAATAATACAAAGCACCTCAACCAGGTACAGTCACAAGCCTGGACTCCCAACACTTGGGAGAAGGAGGTGAGAGGATCTGAAATTCAAGGTCATTCTTGGCTACACAGGGAGGCCCAGCCACTTTTCTCAATTTTCATTTCGGAATACGGTCTTAAAACCTAGAAATAGAATCATCTAGGAAATTACCTGACACCACAGAAGGCATAGCACAGTGCCGGCTCTACTCTCTTCCCCACCTGTATACCCTGCCACAACCACACTACAGACTCCCACTGCTTCACGGCTGGATTCCTGCCATTGCTTTGCAGTGGTTTTCTTTGCTTCCATGTCATCTGGTTGTCTTTTTAAGTTGTAATAAGGAAACAAAATCTTCAACAACTTCCTATTCCTGAAAGTGAAGATTAAATCTGCATTCAAAGCTCTGTAGGCTGCCCCATCCTGTGTTTCTAGGCTGGAATCCCATGGTGCTATCACACACCCCATTCTACTAATACCAATCTCCCTATATCTCAGATACACCTCTCACATTCTAGCTCTCTGTCTCTCGGCCTCTCCCTTCCCTTAGATGATCACAGTCTAACTCTCTGAAATGTAAGCAAGCCCCTGGTTAAATGCTCTCTTTTCTAAGTGTTGCCTTGGTCATGATTTCTCTTCACAGCAATAGAACAGTGACTAAGACAATAACCAACCACTTTCCAATTGGATTTAAGTCCTGCTCCACAAGACAAAACGAACGCCTGGCACCATTATCAGGCTACAGCTAGACAGGTCATAGGCCCTAGGAGAGAACTTACTAGTAGTAGTCTGCTAAATAGACAGTATTAAACTCTCCTACTGACTTACTGCTATACCCATAAACCAATGCATCTCTCAGTCTTCATCTGAGAAGCTTCTCTTTATGGTACATGGTGATTAACACAGATTCATAACTGACCAAAGTACAGAGAATAAGAGACTGCAAAATGTTCGGCCCTGAAGGGAACATATATAACATACATGCACTTGAATACACGCACTCACACACGCACATGTGCACACGCACACACACACACATATATACACATACACGGCTTAGAGATCATTACAGAAGAGGAGGTAGAAAGAATTTAAGAGCCAGAGGTAGTAGATGACCCTAAGGAAACAGTGTCTTCTGGACACATCTGGGCAGCTGTACATATGAACTCACAGCAATTGCAACAGTATGCACAAAACTTGTGCAAGCCCAAGACAGACCAAATCCTAACATGGAGAGAGGAGGGAGTAGTCACACAATCCCACTACTAACTGTAGTGATATTGGCAATTGTTGCTAGCAGAGGGAGAGACAGTTTTCTCTAAGAGAGTAGTCCCTAGTCAGGCAACTATGCTCCAGTGGGAGACAACACATCCAAGAGTATTTAAGCAACATAAATTGGTCTTGAGGGGGCAGAGGAGGGAGATGCAAAGCCGGGGGAGGTGGGGGAGGTCTGGGAAGAGCTTGGGGACAGAGGAAGAAAAGAAGAAAGGAGGAGGAAGAAGAAACTTCAGAAAATATCTAGTTTAAGGATTCCATTTGCAGGTAAAAGAACTAAACCTAGAGAGGAGTGTGATTCTAAATAGTAACGACTTTGGGACCAGCATTTGAGCCCTAAAATGTTCTAGTTAATTAATTCTAAAAATACATGCTAAGTGTGATAAGATTTCAATAGTTAACAATTTGCCATTCACTTACCTATTTAAGAACAACAAAAAAAGTCACTGAATGCTATTAACTAGATATGTTACTTAGAAGAAAGGCTTTGCTCCACAAGAAATTCCCACTAGCAAGAGTATAACGAGAAACAACAAAAGCAGTAATTACAATGTATGTTTGATGTTGCTTCTGAAAGAGAAATATGGGGAGCCAGACTGACCTACCACCTTCTCAAAGGTCCCAATGAAAGGACAGAAGAGCTTTAGTCTTATGTCCTTGCCCAGGAGTGGACTTGGTAAGGCCAGTTTAGGAACGAATTGGGCTGGAGCTAGTGCCTTGAAAGAATCAGAGTTGTGGTTTCTGGGGACCTGACTTTTGCACTGGGCTGTGGTTATCAGTTCTCAGGCAGCTCTATATGAGGTATCCCATTTTCTCTTTGCCACCACTGTCTGACTTAGGTCTTTGCTGACCTTAGCCATTTCCCCCTGCAAATAGTATATATGATGGTATATTTTTTAATAAACTTGCTTGGCATAAATCAACTTATACAAGACTTTCTGCCCCAGCTGCTGCTTTTGTCTTATTTCCCATCTCTTGTCCTCCCACTGAACTCAAAGTTCAGGGCTGGTATTCTTGCTGGTTTGGGTTAAGTGGAGCCCAACATGGGGCTTGAATCCAGAACCCTGAGATTTAAAAGTCTCATGCTCTACTGACTGAGCTATCCCGGCTCCTATCTTTTTGTTTGTGAGTCTAGCCCTTATCATGGCTGAGCCATGCTCCAGCACTAGACACTCAAGTCCATAGTTAGACAAGGACACAGGGCTAGAGTTCCCTTTTCCTTTCATCAGAGCCTGAGAAAGTCTTGGTCACTCTGGCTCCCCACGGAAAAACAAGCCACCAGGATACAGTATAGTATCTTTGGTCCTCTCAATGAACATTCACGAATCCACTTCCTCATTCACTTTACAGAGAGATAATAGACAGACAGACAGACAGACAGACAGACAGACAGATTTTAATAGGAGAGCAAAATACAAAGCAAATGTAGTCTTTGGGCCAACAAGATCTCTAAGTAGGTAAAAGTTCTTGGTGCAAAGCCTGACAACATGAGTGTAGATGCCCCTGGAGACCAAGAGGGGCATGGGATTCCATGGAGCTGGAATTACAGGTTGTTGAGAGCCACCTGATGTAAATGCTGGGGGCCACTTGATGTAGGTGCTGGGAACCAAACTCTGGTCCTCTAGAAGAGCAGCAGGTGCTCTTAACCTTTGAGCTACCTCTCCAGCCCCTAGAGTCTAAATTTCTTAATAGATTGAGTGCTCTTAGTTACTTCTAGTTATGCGAAAGGCACAAGTTTCTTCAGTGAAAAGTGGACACCTTACATGATGTGAGGCAAAGATTGGTACATATATTGACAGTGTATACCAAGACTGATGGAGATGCTGCCTTCACATGCATTATCCACTATAGTATCCACTACAGGCTCAACCTGCTTATTGAAATGTGAGCTGCTACTGTGGAACACATCAAATATACCATTGATATCAGTAAACTACTTGTTAATATATGTGTGGAATTCCAGATGTCATGGACACCTGCATAATTTTAACTTAGAAGACTGCATAGTAACCACATAAGTCAACACAAAAGACCTATGCTACTCAGTAAGGTACACTTCTCCTGACTGATCCTGCTTTGCTCTGATCACTAAATTAACCCATATAAGTTGAACTATATACCTAGTGTTCTTCACTATCATTATGACTGAATTCTCAAGAATGAACTTGCTTGCTCTGCACAAATAGCTGTTATATTGTGTTCAGTTTGTATTATAAACTTCTTAAATATAAGGCTTTGTATTTCTCTTCACATCACAACTAGAATATACTAGATTCTCAGAATATTGCCATCTAATGAACACTGAGTATGCTTATACACTGATTATGATTCCAGGAACACCTGCAAAAAAACAGACCCATGGGGAATAAATAAAGGACTTTTATTATAAATTTTGACAATGCAATGCCCACTTAGTTAAATTTTAGTATGCTCTAGTTGTTAAAGTTTTATTCATGTGCAGTATTTTGTATTGATTACTTGAAAGGCAGGATTGCTGCTATTACTTTGAAAGGTACTTTGTCTTTCAGGTCTTACAAATACCATGTAGACATTTTTCTCATTTTACTTACAGAAGTTTAAATTGAAAAAAATTGAGTTATTTGTTTAAAATTGCTATACAAATAAATTGCAAATGGGCCATGAGACCAAAATAAGCTATATATATCATGAAAAATAAACTGTACATATCATTACACATGCAAGTAAAAATAACTAAATCTTTAAAAAGAAATATAGTCTCCAGACTTTATGCCCCTCTAAAATTTTTTCCTAAGGTTCACATACTATAAATTGCATAAACATTTTTATTATTTATATTATACTAAGAAAAAAAACAAATGCTAAAATGAAATAGATAACAGAGAATACATACTATGAAATGTGTTTATTTTTCCTTTACATGATTCCACACAAAAATATTTTGTTGAGAATGAAATAATTTTTAATCTCTGGACAAAAACGATACTCTCAGTGGCACAGAGAGGACTGGAATGCAGTGTGGTATGCTTAGCATGTGTGAGGCCCTGGCTTCAATCCTCAGCTCTCCCCTGCTCCCTCACCAAAAATAAATTCAGGATATGCTGTAAGTTTGATTTTTAAATACATTTAGATGTGGATCTTACAGTTATTTTAACACTCAGACATTCTAGAGTACAACGTGGAAACACAAGTATGTGGTGACTGCTGGATATTCTAAAGGGACAAAGAGCTTTTTTAAAAGCAATTAAGCCTTTCTCTAATATTAACCCTAATCTCTATTCTCCCTTATATACTACAATGTTGTTGTCAGTTTCATAAACTTTTACTTTGTAAAGAACTCCTGTAGGAAGAAGTTTCTGGAGGCTTTCCCAGATATAGACAGCTACATTTTCTGTTGTGCTGAAGAAAAAAAAGGAAAGAAGTTCAAAATACAAATAATGAACAAAATTTCATTTTCATATATAGAGAAAACAGGAATTCCAGTAACATCTACCACTGCATCAATATTTTAGAAATAACATGATAATCACATAGAATGTTAACTTGTTTCATTTCTCCTGCTCAAGGAGAGACAGTGACACACACCTTACAACACCTGCAAAGTAGGGCACATCCAGATCCAGGTTCTTGTGATCAAGTGGCTTCATGATGGCCTCCTACAGACAGGAGAGAGGACACCACTGAGTGTTTATAACTCAGCAACAAAGGGTTCCTTCCCTCAAGTCTCAGAGTCTCACTCTCTCATTTAGTCAAGACTCAACATTGGGAAGCAGTCCGACAATGCTGTGAAACAAAGTTAGGCCCAGCTCCCTGTAATGACTGTGTATTCTTGCTCCTGATGCAGAGGGAAGAAACCACAAAAACAGAGTTCCTGGGACTTCCTAGAAACAGAGCCCTTGTGATTCACACACAGTTCAGGTTAGCACTTCTAAAAAGTTACTAGAAACTCTTTTATACAGTACCCTGTGCCATTAAGGCCTGATCTAAAATGATGGACATTCTCTAAATTTCTGTCCCAAAGAATAATTTAACAATAAGCTTCTGTCTTAGAAGAAAAAAAAAAAAAAACATTTCCCTATCACTCCCTGATGTTTACATATATTGACATAATGTTTCTTCTTGTCATTAGTAAAGATTGTAATTGCCTTATTCTTTCCAAATTTTTATCATTAGCTCTTCTACAAAAGTTTAAGCATATGTGAAACAAACTAATTTCCTACCTGGTCTGAAGGTACCTAATAACTCGTTTTCTTAAACAGAACTGGAGTCATACAAAAAGAGTGATTCCTAAATCAACTTCTAAACCACTTGATTTTTAAAAATAAATCAAATGAAGAGATGTGAATACCAAGAAAATAAATATCTTTACTCTATCTTGGACCCCAATTCTGGCCCCAACTTCTCCACTGCAGTTTCTACAGGACTCTAACTTCACTCTATGGCCACAGGAAGCCACTTTTACTGGTGGGAATGTGTAATAATTTAGGAAACCAAAGAAGGAAGAAAACCCCAAGCTCTACCTAAGTATTCAATCCTTGACCTCTGAGGCTTCTTGTGCTGTTGTCTTATAGTGCACAGTACTAATGTGCCCCTATAATGCAAAGCCCCTGTCTTTAGAAGTTCTCTAAACTAATAAGCACAGAGCTATTCACTCATTCATTCATTCACTCACTCATTCACTCATTCAGTCCCTTATTCCTTTACTCAATACTTTTGACCACTTAGTATTCTTTACCTCCTAGAAAAGACAATGCATATGTTCTATGGACTGTCTCATTCATTCATCTTTGTATTTCCAATAATTAGCTTTTTAAAAATGATGTAAAGAAACAAATTTGTTGAATATATGAACAATATGAGAGAGTAATTATTAGTAACATTGTTTTATAAAATATGTTAACCTTGAGAATAAAAAGTCAGCCAAAACGAAGAACTAAGCAAGTAGGTTGAAGTGGTGGGAAAATGGAAACTAGGGGAAAAAAATCTCAAGTTTGTGAACAAGAATGACCACATAACCTGGGGCAATAAAGTTAACTGTCTAGCATCTCTTAGCTTTAATCTATGGAATAAGAAATTGGTATAAATAATCTCTAAAATCTCTTGCAACACAAGAAAGAATCTTATGATAATACAATCAAGAAGTCTTTTACTGATTATATTCTGATGTGTTATCTCTATCATGAATTGCCTTAACTTAGCATAAAGCCACAGTTGTCAAGTAAGTGTAGTCTTGGGGCTGCAGAGATGGTTCAAGATGGCAAAGAGCCCTTGATGCTTAGGTTGAGTTTCCAGAACCCACATGGAACAGCTCACAACTACCTGTCACTTCAGCTTACACAGATCCAAGGCTTCCGGCCTCTACAGTGGCCTGCACTTGTATATTTATGGAGCTAGGACTCTTTCATTCATCTTTGAATTTACAATACTGAAGCTTTAAAAACTGATTCACAAAATTAACAATAAATCTTAAAAAAAGAAAAAGAGGCTGGGCATATGCCTTTAATCCCAACACCCAGGAGGCAGAGACAGCTGGATCTCTGTGAGTTTGAGGTCAGTCTGGTCTACAAGAGCAAGTTCCAGGATAGCCAGGAGAAACTCTGTCTTGAAAAAAATCATTTAAAAAAGTGTGGTATTTAAGAAATTTTATAATCAAAGGTACAACTATCGAAAGCTTCAAAGAAAAAGGCTATGTTATGAAAGAAGGGAAGATTTGATAAAAAGAAAAAATGAGTCTCTGCCAATGAAAAGTAGGAGATGAGCATGTGACATTTCTCTCCATCACTACAACACAACTCAAACTACTTCCTATTAAGACCTTAGAAGACCAATAAGCAGTTGCTACAAACCTTCTCCAATCTCCCACCTACCCCAACTCATAGTCATGGCATCTCAAGAGATAAAGCAAACAGGGGGTACTAAAAATTATACTAAGGGGGTGTCACATAATAAGTGCCCAATATGACATTACCTCCATGTATTCTTTGAGGTCAGTCAAATTCATAACCATTCCTGTAACAGGATCAACCTAAGGAAGAAAAAAGGGTGTCTATCATTCTAGTAGGCTCTCTGTATTTATGATTTCACAAAGCTGGGGGGTGGCTCATGCCTGAAATCTCAGCACATGTAAAACAGAAGCAGGAGGATCTGGAGTTCAAAGCCTTTCTTGGATACACAATAAGTTCAAGCCCAGCCTAGTAGGCTACATGCGATCCTGTCTCAAAAGTAAAATAACTTTGCAAGTTATTAAAGGCTGTACAACTTGCAGATTGTGCCCACATTTTCTTTATCAGAGGGACACTTAGTGTTCTGGGTGCTGAAGCACCAGGTACTCCCAGCACCCTTTTCACTGGATGGATCTCCTGCCCATCCATATATAACAGAGAGGCCTGGCATGGCAGCAGCTCACCACACTGAAAGGCCAGCAATGAAGCAACTGAAACACAAGCTTTCAACACAGATTTCACCACAGTGTCTGGAAGATGGCCCAGCAATCTGAACAAATCCACACACCATTTCCAGCACGTACCTCTCCATGTACTGTCACCACAACTAGGGGAAAGAGAACAAAAATACCAACAAAGAAAGTATGACTTTCAACAGATCAGCATATACGCACAAGTCAGCAACATAAATTGTTAGACCTCGGCCCCCCAGGCTATACTTCAATTTTTCTCCAAATATCTATTCTTTTTGTTAAAATCTTTTTATCAATCAATGCAAGACAAAGCCCAGAGGAGTTTAGCAGGAACTTTGGCTGAGAGGAGGAAATGAGCCAAATCCCAAAAGGTGTGAATTCTGCTTGTAAGGGTGAGGTCCTTGGGAGGAGGGAGATCGGAAAAGTGGAAGATGTATGTGTGTGTCCAATCCCTCTGCAGGCAAAAGTGCTTATCTTCTACTTTCCAGGATGTGTCCTCAGCTCACAGAAATGCTTTGTTGAAAAATAGCAGGTGCTCATGAAGAGCATTTGAAAACTTGGTTGGTGCCTTCCTCCATAAAAGAACGACTTTTATACTTTTGTATTCCCTTGCCACACAAACACTACTGGAGAGTCCATGGTAAGTACACTGAGGTTAGGAGGCATCTCAGACAAAAGAAGAGTCAGGAACTAAACCAGAAATCGTGACCTCCCAAAGTCTTATGTAACCCTAACTCAAGGCACACTACTACATTCTAGGGCTTAGGTATCATGATTTGAGGCACCAGGCATGTCTCAAAGAAGAATGTCCCTTTTCCTCCCACAAACTACTGTCTTAGAATACTGCCTGCAAAATTTTATATATAAACTATTTTCTGCCACACAGTACATCCCTAAGCAACAGACCCTTTTCATTTGGTCATTTTTTTACTCAAAATAAAATTTTTTAGTTATTTTGCTATGAAGGGTTTTTAATTTTAAATTTTAACTGATACAATAAAAATATTTTTAAAATCTACATATAAAGGGATATTATTTGGTGTCTCAATCCATATATACATAGTTTGATGTTTAAATCAAGTTAAACATTATGTTTCCTCAAACAGTCATTATAATCAAATTTTAACATTAGTTTCAGCCTAGCCTAATTAAAAGGAAACAGCTAACAGCAGTTTTATTAAGCATTCAAATGTCAAAGAAAATGCTTTAAATCATTTTGGTTGCTGTTGTTTTTTACTATCTTTAACAGAGTAGACAACTCTGAGGCAAACCATACACTTACCCATCCAAGACAATAGCTCTTTGTCTTGAATTTCCACTGGAGGGCTCAAAGCACTGACATTGTCCACAAGGCTTCTCATTCATGACCCCTGTACCTACATTACACACACTTCATTCTTACAGACAGGTTAGAAGTCACTGTGCTCTTCCCTCACCTTTATAGTTGTGTCCATGGCCATTCGGATTGTTGCATTTCCCAAACACTTTCAAGTTCTCTTCATCACTCAGAGATGGGCTGACGAAAGAAAGACAGAAGGTCACTGTGAGCCAGGAAGACATCCACATTCCTCTGTTAGCTTTGCTCTGGCTTTTGAGAACTCTACAACTTAACTTCACGTTAGATGATCAACCAAAGAGATCACTTGAATTTCACTATCTATCCACCTTTCCATCAAGAACCAATGCACACTCCCTAACGAACAAAGTACCACATAAAATTATCAAAAACTTTGATTTCAACTCACCTATTTCACAGCAAGAATCCAACAAATCCTCTCAGTCAGCCCTTGCTCTCTGCTTTCTCTCTCTCTTTTGGCAAGGTCTCCTGTATCCTAGGCTGGCCTCAAAGTCACCATGTAACTTAGCATGGCTTTGAACTTCTGATTCTCTTGCCTCTGCCTCACAAGTGCTGGGACCTGGTAACACATACTGACTTGTGCAGGGCAGGGGATGGAGCCCTGGGCTCACACTAGTCAAGCACTCTACCCACTGAGTTACATACCACTTCCAATTTTCAATTCAAGGAACACTGAGAATTAGCTATGGGATAAGAGCAGAACAAAGCAGGGAGTAACGATGATAAACAGGAGAGATACTTGTCCCCCCAGCAGCTTAAAAACCGAATTTCTCCTGGAAAACAATGACCCCAGGCTCTTCTTTTAACAAGCTCACTCTTCTCTGTCTCAACTATTGCCTAGTGGAAACCTTACCAGTATGTTCAGGGACACTCAAATCAGGTGAAACTTCAAAATTATTTCCAATAGCTGTCATTCCAGACAGAAAACAATGTACTCAATGAATTTGTGTATCTATCCCAACTCAGCCAACTCCTTATCTTCTGCACCCTTACTAACCTCATGCTTAAGCTTCCCACTATAAAAATCGTTTTGAGGGGCTGGAGATGGCTTAGCAGTTAAGAGTGCTTACTGCTATCGAAGAGGACCAAGGTTCAGCTCCCAGTGCCCACATGACAGTTCGCAACTACCTATAACTCCAGTTCCAAGGAATCTGATGCCCTCTTTTGGCTTCCAGAGGCTCCTTCATGTAAGCTGTTCACATAACACACAAGCACACACAAACACAATTTTAAAAAAAAATTAAATTCTTTAAGATCTTTCTTATCCCATTGACTTTCTCCTTCTGCTTACACTTACCAAGCACTACAGTTCACAAGGCTTTGCAGAAAATTATCTCACTGTACAAAACATGGCCACCATTTTAAACTCTACATACCGGGCAGTGACAAGTATTTGGTATTCCCTTCAATATACCCGTCTCCTAGCACGGAACAAAGCATTGTCCATTAAGGAGTGGAAGGGTGCTGTTAGAAATGACTGTTCTCTCTCACAGACAAGGAAATGGAGGTTCAGAGAGTAGACCTTCTAGTGAGCAGAGAAGCTCCCTTCAAAACGAAACTCAGGTGCGGAGTTGGGTATGTGGGATTCAATTCCCGACCGTGCTGTTTCGCTTTATTTTATTTTTTAAAAGGGTCGCGGGGAGCTACCATGTGTTGCACCCGATAGCAACATGCTCCTGTCACTGTGCCTTCAGGATGCTCTGGGTGAGTGGCAGGACTCTGAACTTGGGGCAGCCCCCAGGGGACCTCTCCAGAGTGGAGCCTGCGGGATCAGAGCTCTACCGCCCTCTCCCGGGTGAGGCCCAGTACTGCGGCTCCGTACCTTCACCATTTCCTCTTCCGCCCGCCCCAGATCGGCTCAAACCCACGCGTGTGGCCACGCCCCCGAGGACGTAGCGGGAAAAGCCCGGCACTTGCGGTGACACACGTGGTCACACCCCACCTGTGCAGCCGGTGGCTCGCACTGAAGGACACGAGGCGTGACAGTCGCGCACGGCGGCGAAAGCCACCCGCCACGCTCATGTCTTCAGGCCAGCTATCCGGGAGCGACCAGCGCTTCCGGCTTCCCCGGCCGAGGCCAACACCTCCCTCCGCGGCTGCGCAGTGCAAGCTCGGCCCTCCCCGCCGGAAGCGCTCCTCCGGGGTGGTTTCGGCGCTTGGTGCACGTCAGTCCGCATGGATGCAGTCTCTTGCACCTCCTGCTGTTCAGTCTTTGCTAGACAATCAGAAATACCCTGGAGCAGTGAGTGGATGGGAGCCAGAGGCCTGGATTTTTAAATTGCCCACGATCGTTGTGTCTTCCCCTTTCACTACATTTGTGATAGCTCTGGGTTAGAATTGGAAAAGGCCAGTGGCTGGGCACCCTTATCAGATGCGCTCCAGCCCAGTACCACGTTGAGAGTGTCCTTAAAGGAAACCCTAGCCAAGGATAACAGCGCATTGTCCTCCGAATTACTCTGGTGTCTGAGCCCGGAGGATTGATTTTAGGAGTTCCGGTCTACTCTAGGCAGCATAGTAAAACAGTAGCTCAAGTGGAAAATAAAGGAAAACGTTTGACACTACAATTGGCAGGTGAGAGAATGTCATGCAACGACCTTCTCAAACCAGACTCAGGCCTGAAAACAGAGTCACCCTTCAGAACCCTCCCTCAGCCTTAAGGAACAGCCAGTCCTGGTTTTAGATCGATGGTTTTCAGTGCTTAGAAATGAAAAGGGCATTAAGGTGTATCTTTGTCTCAGAAGATCAGCGTCTACTAAATGCTGTCAGAGAATCAGATGCAACATATATCTGTAATTCTCGCACTGGGGCTTGAGACAGGAGGATGGTGAGCTCAAAGTCTATCTCAAAAGAATAAAATCCTGTAACTAATCCAAATGGACACCTTTGGCAAGGCAGCCCCCACAGCCATCAACCATCCACTCATCAAATTAAAAACTTAAATTTAAAAAGTGTTTACCTAAGATCTAAATACCAAATGCCTTAAGTATCAGTCACCTGAACCTCAGAACAACAAAATGGTCCCTGTCCTCTGAAAGTTCAGTTTAATGGGGAGTCAAACAAGTAATATGACAAGGGAAAGGTTACTAATTATCTCAGAGGGTAAAAGAAAGCTTCTGAGAACAAATTGTTCTGAGCTGGGTTTTATGGAGTCCAACAGATCGGTAAATAATAAATTCCAGGAGGAAATAGTTTAAGCAAATGAAATGTGGAAGTGTGGCTTGCTTAAGGCATAATGACAAATTCTTGGCTACCTTGGCATGCAAGAAAGAAACTATACTGGAAATATTGACTGCAGACCAATTAGTTGAAGCATTATGAGTGTTCGTTTTCTTCTTCTTCTTCTACATATAGAGGAAAAGAGGCCCCACCTTTTTATTCCCCTCTAATTCCTCTCCAAGAGAAAGGAATTTCCAACTGCTTGAATAACATTTTCCTGTACAACTGAGTCCTGCTTGTTCAGATAGTGGTGGCTTACTCTCTGGAGCTATGCATACAGGAAAATGAAAGAAGAAAACTCAAAGCCCAAGCTCTCCACCTCACCAGTCCTGGCTGTCTTCCATTCTGTTGTGGCTGTGGAAAGCTAAGCCAGGAGCAGGCCCTCTCATTCTTCCTTTCCTCTACTTGTACACCAACCATCACATGCATACTGAGATGAAGTAAAGGTCCTTATGCAGAAGAATGGGGTCTTCAGATCTGTGTGCTTCCCAGAAGTCAGAGACCCCATCAACCTGCACATCTAGGTAGGATATATTAACCCTCCATGTTTAATCTGTGGAAATGCAAGAATGCTTCCTCATCCCACCCCCCAGACTTGTGTGACCATCAAGGGACTTACCCTCTCCAGGTTCTTGGCTTCCACACCCCCACATCTGCTCTCTTAGCTCTGTCTACCTGCCTTTCATAAAACCTCACATGGGACATAGCCCTTATTAGTTACTGTCATGTGGTGCAAACCTCTACACAGGGCATTTATATATAAGGAACACTTCGCTGGGGAGGAAAGAGTTAATGGGGTTTGAAATAACCCCTACAGAAATTGAAAGAAGAAACTGGCATTCCATGAATCTAACTGTAAGTAAACAGGTGTGCAGATCACATCTTGAAGGACGTCTTCAGGAAGAGTTAACAGGCAGAAGGATCCTGGGCAGTATGACTGATTTAAGATTAAAGCTCAGCCACAGGGCAACTGAAGGAAAATGGAACAATGCATTCTGAGGGCATGCGGTTTACTGAGAGCTTAGAAATGTGAAGATTGTATGGTCTCTATTGCCACCTGCTGCCCAATTAAATAAAAAACCTTCTGACTGTCATCAATCTCTGGGAAATTATCTATCTGGAGATTTGAATAAATGACACACTTAGCAATGTCCCTCAAAACCACCACCTCTGAAGACTGAGCTGGGAACGAGATGGGGATGGTAGTGGGTGGTCTGTAAGAGAAAAACTGAAGTGAACTGACATAGCATCTGCTATAGACATCAGAGAAATATCCAGTCCAGAGGACACCAAACACGACAGCACTCAATTGTAACAGATAGACTGTGACCTGTTACAGACTTGGAGACAGCAAGGTGCTGGTCTAGATTCTAAGCCAGCAGTTCTCAACTTGTGGGTTGTGACCCCTTTGGACTGAATGACCTTTTCACAGGGGTCACCTAAGACCACTGGAAAACACAGGTATGTATGTTATGGTTTATAACAGTAGCAAAATGACAGTTATGAAGTAGTCATAACATGCGGAACTGTATTAAAGGGTTGAAGCATTAGGGAGGTTAAGAACCACTGCTCTAAGTCTACTATCCTTGACTATTTGTATTTCTTCTCCCAGGGCCTCTGATCACTCATGTGGTAGTGGTAATGACCTAATTTTATTCTTTTTGTGTGTATTCTTTTTTCAAAAACCTCTTCCCATGCTCCCAATTTGCCCAGCAGATCTTGAACCTCTCCCCTTGGCCCAGGGCCTCTGATCACTCATGTGGTAGTGGTAATGACCTAATTTTATTCTTTTTGTGTGTATTCTTTTTTCAAAAACTCTCTCTCTCCTCTCTCTCTCTCTCTCTCTCTCTCTCTCTCTCTCTCTCTCTCTCTGTGTGTGTGTGTGTGTGTGTGTGTGTGTGTGTGTGTTACCTTTGTGGAGTTGATTATCTCCCTCTATCTTTACATGGGTTGCAGGAACCAAACCCATGTCACCAGGCTTGCACTGCAAGCACCTTTACCTGCTGAGCCATCTTGCCAGCCCCTTTTCATATATTCTTTTAGCTAGAGAAAAGCATGTTCAATAAGTGTAGACTATCTTAAAAATATCCCCCAAGGCTTACAAGATGGCTCAGTGGGTAAATGTGCTTAATGAATGACCCTGATGACCTGAATTTGATCCACAATCCTCAACAGGCCAGATGCAAAGTCTTGTGCCCATAATCCCAGCACTTGGATGTGGAGATGGAAAAACAGAGGATGGTGGTTTGGCCAGAAGTTCCCAGGTGGAAGGAGAGAACCCACTGTAGATAGCTGTCCTCTGACCTCCCTAAGCAGGTCTGCACATATACACACATAGTCCATAGACACACATATGTAACAACAATAAAGAACTTTAAATATTATACTGATGCTTGCTTGATGGTTTCAAGGAATAGCCTTAAGATAATATAAAACCAGGGCTGAAGAGATCACCAACCAGTTGAGAGCATGCACACTGCTCTTGCAGGGGACCTGAGTTTGGTCCCCAGCACCCATACCAGGTACCTGTACTCACATACATGTACCCACACACACAGTCACACATAAACACATACATCTTTTTTAAAATATATAAAGGGGCTGGAGAGATGGCTCAATGACTCAATTGAGATGGCTCAATAAGAATGCTTGTTTCTCTTCTAGGGGTCCTGAGTTCAGTTCCCAGTGCCCACATGGCAGCTCACAGACCATCTGTAACTCCAGTTCCAGGGGATCTGATCCTCCATTCTGACCTCCTCAGGCACCAGACATGCATGTGGTACATATGCATATATGCAGGTAAAACATTCATACACATAAAATAAATCCTTTTAAATGACATTAAAAACATATAAGACCATAATTACCTCACAAATTTATGTTTTT